GGTTCGTTGAAGTTGTTGTTCCAGTATGGTTGTCATTGGCCATGTTTCTGCACCATATAACAACACCGGACGTATCACAGATTTATAAAGTCTTGATCGTAATGGTAGTGGGATGTCACGCCGCATCAATGTAGAGGCAAGGAGATGCCATTTATTCCAAGCTGCTCGAATGCGTGCTCGAAAGGCAGCTTCAGCTGTTCCAGTACAATCCAGAACATCTCCTAGATATTGAAACGATGTGACTTTCTCTACATTAATGGCTTCAAAAATATCGCCATTTTGAATTTGTTGTTGTGGATTGATGCAAGCAGGACAAACAAAATTGGACACTTTAGATAAAGTACCAATTATTTTTGAACAACGTTTGTGACACCACTGGTTACACTGCTGACACTTGATTATATTGTTACCTACACCAGCTTTACAAACTGAACAGAGCCATCGTCCAGTAGCTGTGGATTGGATGGGTTCACCAGTGTTCATTGCTATGGTTTTGCTGATGTTGACTTTGAATCCATGATCGGCCAGTCTGGTGTTCAAATCTTCAAACATCTGTGCTGAATTCTGCTCAGACGTGGCTGTTAAAACGATATCATCAGCATATATTAGATTCCAAATGTCACCAGTGCGTATCGGTTTTGTGATTTTATCCACCACAGTTATAAATAACAGTGGACTGAGGATCGAGCCTTGGTAAACGCCGATGTAAAATGCATCTGTGTTTCCAACCGTTGTGCTGACGAGAGTTTTAGTATTCGTATACATTTCCATCACAAGTCGAACAACATATTCTGTAATGAATTTTCGACGTAGACTCCACCTGATTGCTTCACGGGGAACTCGATCAAATGCTTTTTCAAGGTCTACAAAAATGTGTGATAGTTGTTGATGCTTTGCGAGGTACTTCTCTTGCAGTTGCCGAAGGATGTGAATTGCATCAATTGTTGATTTCCCCGCTAGGAAACCAAATTGATAATTTCCGATTGTGATGCACGACGTTAATCTTCTCTCAATGATTTTCTCGACAATTTTCAGGGAGTGTTCTAGCAGACGTATACCCCGATATGATGAACAGTTCAATGGATCACCTTTGCCTTTGTATAGAGGAACCGTCATGCTATAGTTCCATTCAGTCGGCATTGAGCAATTTCTCCAGATTTCACGGCAAAGTTGTTGTAACGTTTGGATACCTGCAGTACCAGATGCTTTGATAATGTCATTTGTGAGTCCAGAGGGCCCTGCTGCCTTTCCGTCCTTCATAGCTTTTAGAGCTTCTGTAAGCTCCTCTACAGTGATGTCTGGAATCGGACCTTCGATGGGTGGACATTGATGGGATTTGTTTCGTTTAACAGACGGTTGAAGTATTCTCTCCACTGTAGCTTGATCTCATCTTGTTCAAGAACCATCTCATTTTTGTCGTTTTTGATACATGAGGCACTAACTATGTCTTTTTTCGTACGCTTTGCTTGTTTTGCTATACGATACAGAGATTTCATTTGTTCACCTTTGCTTTTAGTGAGCCACTCTCTGCACTGATCTGTCCGAACCAGTGCAACTTGACGTTTTGCATAGTTGTTCTTCTCACGGAAAATTTTATGGTCATCAACAGACTTTGATTTTTGCCATTGCTTGTATGCAACTTTCTTTTCAGCTATTGCATTGTTGTATTGGCAAAAGGGTGCTATCAAGGACCATATGCATATTTCTCATAATATACAAATAACTAAGGATGTACTACATGCCAATACAACAATAGTCGATCGCGTTTCCTATCCTTTGCGCCTTAAGATTCGCGAGGCACTATACATCTACACTAACAAACCTACCATTAACAAACAATTTCACAAATTCGATCATACACTTCATCTCTATTCCCAATACCGCGATGACATCACACTAGGGTCAATTCCCGTTGTTGTCGGTATTAGCCACGAACGTCGGCGTTTCGATCTTCAACCTACGCCGAACGATGTAAAAATGATCAACGTCGCAAATGTGACTTTTTGCCGTGCAACCGGTGTTACGGTTCCGTTGGCCTCTCTGTTCGAAAATGATTCATGTTCTTAACACTTTATGTTTTCTTTCATGCTAATATTGTTCACTTTTAATTATTTTAATTCATTACTTTCACGTATAATTTACAATATTTTTCCATCTCCTTTAATTTCATTAATTTCAATAATTTCAATTCTCACAAATTTCTCACATCAAACGGTTTTCCATAATTACATCATATTTTGCATTCACATACGTCCACCTGCTTTTAATACTAACTTCACTATATTATTTTCCATTTTTATAATTTCATTTCGTTTCTCAGTTATCGTAAATTATTATCTTGGTAATTTCATTTATATTTCCTTATATATATATATAATGTCATTAATATTCGAAGGTTACTCTCATATTTTAACTTATTTAATATTTAATTTATTAATTCAACTGCTCATTTACTTAAATTTCACTTAATATTTTATTTCAAATTTTGCATTTCTGACTATGTGTTTTTGATCTAATAGGCTCCGACAATGGTTAACTCCGAAACAGTCAGCCAAGCTCAATAATAATTTTCCTCTCAATGACTATGAATTCAACAAACTCAGAAGTGTTGAGGTTTTAATAAAAAAGATTATAAACGCACGCTGGGCAACCATTTTTAATGACATTTGTATTAAAGAGAGCCTCGTTCCTAAATATATTATATTTATTTATATTTATATTGATGAGGCGTGACATCCCACTACCACTACGATCAAGACTTTATAAATCTGTAATACATCCGGTGTTGTTATATGGTGCAGAAACATGGCCAATGACAACCAAACTGGAACAACTTCAACGAACCGACATGAAAATGCTCCGATGGATGCAACGACGTAGTCTGAAGAACCACATCAAATCTACCGAAATCCTGCGCTGTGCTGGTTTAGATGATATAAATTATAAAGGACGAATGCCGGCAACACCGTCTGAGGTGGTTTGGTCATGTCAAACAAAGTGGAAACAGTGCCATAACTTTTCTTGCAGATGTTGAAGTACCTGGCACACGTCCCAAAGGCCGTCCAAAAAAGTCCTGGTCGCAAACAATCGAGCGCAACATGAAATCTCTAAATTTAAATGAAATGGATACAACTGATCAACTAATTTGGCGCAAAAAATTGATGGCAAAGAAAACAACGTCCTACCTCGGGGAACTGGGTCTCTGGATGGTAAGCGATGATTGATTGATATATATATATATATATATATATATATATAATATTCTATAAATTCTACAGAATGTTTGGCGTTAATATGTTTGTAGTTCGTTTTTTTCAATTTTTCTCACTAAAGTTTTTTGGAGAACGTTTAGTTTATTAAAATTCAAAATAAACTTATTTTCCGAATTCATGCTGCAAATAAGGCCATATTTCGATTCCGAATGAATCATCCTCAGTGCAAGTTGATTTATATAGGGAAATATATACTTTTTGAAAATGAACTTAGATGGAAATTAGGTGTCAGATTTCCTTATTGGCTTGTCCATCTTTTTTGGCTTCCTTTTCTTCATCGATAGAATCATATTCTTCTTGTCAATATTCACAATGCTAGCAGTACCATTAAATAGTATTTTAAAAAAAATCAAAAATTCAATAACTCCACCTTAATCAAAGACAGTTATATCTTTATATTATTTAAATCAAATGCACGATAATTACAAAATCGATGATTCACAACTTAAACGTATCATTAAGACAAACATCTCGATTCCTAACAACAACAGTTGGTTAAAATTAATAATTTATTATAACACTAACAGGACGTCTAATTTAATAATTAAGAATAACATTCGACAATCAAATAAACTAGAGAAGACGATTTGATTTGATTGCCCTATGCCACACAAAGTTGTGGAGAGTTACATCGGTCACACAAGAACTACTCTTTCTGGAAGACTCATCATACATACACAAGACGGCGCCATTAAAGAACATATTGAACAAGTACATCGTTTGCCTTACTAGAGCAATACTGGATCCAAACATAACTGTGCTCGATTTTGAATGTTATCCAGTCCGTCTAAAAATTAAAGAGGCCCTTCATATCAATAAACTTCAACCTTCACTAAATAAACAACTCAGCTGTTTTGACCACACTCTTCAACTATTTTCGCAATACCGCGACCTCACACCCATTGTTGTTTTCGATGAAGATCCAGGTCGTCAAAGCGCACAACAACGATACGAGTATTGTTCGACGTTGGATGCATTCAAACCGGCTAATGCGCAGATTTTGACCCGACGTCCTAAAACAACAGTCGTTACGTCGCTGGTCTCATTATTTGATATTTAATATTAATACTGTTTTTACACACGTGTATACACATGTATCATGCATACTTTCATATTCCTTCGATACTTTCCTACACATGTACAAAACTTATATCAATTTCGACAATATACATTCATACTGTCTGTTCAACTAAATACAATAAAATAAAACAAAACTGCATACCTCTACCTCGTGCAAATTCCACACGTACACTCGTTTTATCTTGCAAAAATTTTTTACTTATATAAATATTATTATGTTTATTTATTTAATTCTACGTTTGCGATGTCTATGATTTACTCGATATCGTGTTTTGAATTTTCAATCTCTAAATTTTCCGTTATAAACTAAAGTTTTTGCTCCTTTTTCTTCAATAAAACAATAATAATTTTTTTCTGACAACGTTTTTAAAATTTGCAAAAGTTTTCGTTGCTGTATTACAGTTCGTTTTTATAATTTATTATGAATTCAACAAATTTTCATCATAGTCGTCATAGTAACCGATTTTAATTTCAAATTTCAACGGTTTTTTCTTATTCTAATTTAATTTAATTTAAATAACAATTTCACTTTATTTTTAACTAATTTCAATTTTTTCAATTAAGTTTCTAGTTTTCTGTTTTATTAATTTTATTTTTTTTATCCGTTTTCACCACTCGTTACTAATTATTGCTCACATCCTCAATCGAATGATCCAATACACAAGCCAACAACTGCTTGATTTTCTACCCGACAAATTCGTCATCAGAAGACCGCTAAGAAAACTCTTTTCCTCAATAAAATTAGGAAGCAAGAGCATCACCAACATCAACACCTCTTCTCTTTTCTTCAATCGCTACAGCGCTCTACAACAACTTCAACATCAACACCCCCTGGCCATCTATTTCAATCGCTACAGCAATCTGCAACAACATCAACACCTCCAGCCCATCTACCTAGCACTAATTCATCGTCAGCAATACCAGTAGTAGTTTCATCAACCCGTAAAAAAAGCAACCACCCCAGTCGACGCTCTTCACCTAATCATCTAAATCTCATCAACATCAAATTCACCCTGGCTTACAAACCAGCCAAAATCACCCCATGTCATCATCCACCCACCATCTACATTTTTAATGTCACTAGCATTGTCAAGCCATACGCTATTGAGAATTTGAGATGTGATGTGTATTATCTCCACTCTGACATCATCACCATCACCGAGTCATGGTTTAGGCTAGATCACCCTGATGGTTTGATCGCAATAGATGGCTACACACACTTCAGAAAAGACCGCCCTGGCAGGCGGCGTGGAGGAGGCGTTGTTATCTATTTGAAGTCATCCATCACATCTCAAATTCACATCGTTTCGCTTCATGCTATCAATGATGCACTGAAAACCTTTTGTCTCAAGTGCATTATTGACAGTGAACCATACTTCATCTGCGCCATCTATCATCCACCAAACCATCCATCATACAAAGTCTCCACCTTGATGAGTTACATCGATGAACCCTCATCATACAAAGTCTCCACCTTGATGAGTTACATCGATGAACCCTCTAACACTGCTTTGGAGAGCGACTCAAAACTCATCATCAACTCAATCTTCAATCAACTCGACCACCATTCCATCCTTCAAACAGGTCTACACTCTATATTCTTGGGCCCCACCAACCAAGGTCACAACCTTGACAGAATATATGGGATTAATGTAAACCTGGACATCACTCACACTTATAGGTCACACGTTTCAACACATCATCTTGGGTTTTCTGCTCCTCCACCTCCACCAACTAACTCAACATCGAGTAACAACACTATGAGAAAAGTCATCTCATTTCGCCGTCGTCATCCTTCACAGAGTAGTGCTTGCCTTCAATATCTCAAAAACATCGACTTCAATATCTTCGACTTCAACACCACCACCACCAACAATACTCTACCAGCAATTTTTAATAATAATACTATTAATTTTGATAATATTAAAAATAACAGTGCTAACAATAGTCCTACTAATAGTAATAATACTTGTAACAATAATAATATTATTAACAATGGTGCCAATGATAATAATAATAACAATATTAACGATAATACGTTCATAACTAACTCTATTAACAATTTTTCGCAACACTGTTTTGATAAATTTTATAAAATCATCAACTCAACTTACAACACGTACTACCCAACATCAAATATCACGATCAGATCATCAGACCCTCCATTCATCAGCCCATTCATCAAATATCTACTTCGCCAAAAAATAAATTCATGAGATCAGGATCCATCCCCTAGGCCGCAGCAATAACCAAGATCACCAAATACATCAATAAATTAATTATCAACTTCAACTCAAAAACTTTCACTAATAGTAAGCGTGGAAGCAAAGCCATGTGGGACCAAGTCAACAAGATTAGAGGCTCTGACAAATCATTCAACACGTCAACCTCACAGCAAATTGATGCAAAACACATTCAACACCCACTTTGCTTCCATGTCAACCAACCCGACCTACAAAACTCCACCAACAAAAGCAACAATAATCAATAATCGTCAACACCAACAATTTACCCCATACTCGGTCCTGCACATGCTAACGAAGGCCTGTCCATCCGGTACAGGTCCAGACAATCTACCAGCATGGTTTCTACAAATCATCGCTCCATTCATCTCCAGCACCTTAAGTTCACTCTACAATCACTGCTTAATGCATTCACTCATCTCCTCATCATGGGAATCCAGCACAATTCATCCAATTCCTAAAACAAAACACACATCCTCACCAATAGATTATCGCCCAATATCTATCACCTCCATACTTTCACGTATTCTAGAAAAATTCATCGTTAGGCCATTCATCTATCCATGTTTCAACCACTATTACAAGATCAGTTTGCATTTCGCCCTACAGGTTCATCTACATCCGCCATCATCTCTCTTACTTCCACAATAACATCTTTCCTTAAAAATAATAATTATGTTCATCTTATTGCCCTCGACTTTTCTAAAGCTTATGACACTCTCAATCACTTCTAACTTTCACTCTTCCTCTACCTGACAAAATTTACAATATTATAATAAATTTTCTTTCTATTAGGAGTCATTTTACTTTCATTAGCTCTACTCTTTCATCTACTCTACCTATTAATTCTAGCGTAGTTTAAGGTTCTGTTCTTGGACCATCTACCTTTATCATCAAAGCTTCTACTCTCAAAACTTTTCATAGCTCTAATCACATCATCACCTACCTTATCATCCCATCATCTAACTCAAACACCATCCAATCAGAATTCGACTCATTAACTACATGATCAAAAAGATGCAATCTGTCACTTGATATCAATAAATCATTCGAACTCATCATTCACAATAGCCGTAAGAAGATAACATTACCTCCAGAACACCCATCAATCACTCGCACAAGTCAATTAAAAATATTAGGCATTACATTTACCTCAACACTTCATATAGCACCTCATATCAATCACATCATCACAAAAGGTTTTCAAACATTTTACGCACTCAAAACACTTCGCTTACATAGTCTCAGAGGCATCAAATTATTCGACATCACTGAATCACTCGTATCTCAAGCATCAAATATGCAGCTCCCTCCAGGTCTGGTTTTGTTACACAACAACAACTTCAGCAACTACAATTTCTCGTCAAAAAACTAATCCGCTTCAACTATCTACCTGCATCATATCTTACCGTCACTCAGATATTCAACACACTCGATTCAAGGCTGTTCAAGAAAGTAAAAAATAACAACAACCACGTCATCCATCTTCTACTACCACCAATTAAAACTACAACACACAACCTTCGTCAGCGCAAACATAACTATCAAGTCGCCACCCAATCTACATATCAGGAAAAGACCTTCATCACAAGACACCTCAAGCATATTCACAATAAAACTTTATCATTCACACAACTAGTTTTTATTTATTAATACCTCACTAAGTCATAATCCAGTCTATTAATTTGCGTTTTTATGCCATTACTTCATTATATTGTCAATCTCTTCTCGTTTCTTTTATTTATTTTATTATTCATATTTATTATTTATTTTATTTTATTTTTCATGTTTAAACATTTTTCATTTTCCGTTTTTTTTATTAATTTATTTACTTATCTGTTTAATTGTGTGCTACTGCCTTGCATGCTGTAACAGTTTCTGCGTCTGCCAGATTCTGATTTTTAAAGAATAATAATAAAAAAATGTTATTGATAGTCACGGAAAACATTTTAGCAGCTCACTATGTGGAATATCCTCCGGTTCCTTCTCACTATTAATTGGTAGTTGCAAAAATGACGGTTGATGTTGAACATTCTTTAGCAAACTCATCAAACTTAAATTGTTGTTGGAACTACATAAGATGTAAAAAACCGTTTTTTAGCTGCTTTTCTGTAAAAACCCGAAGCCATTAAGGATACTTTTTTTGGATGAACTTTTAATTTAAATTGAATTTTTCGGAATTGGTCGTTAAACCGTTTTTTTTGTAAAATTGTTAAATACGTTATTAATTCTGAAACTAATTTTAATTCTCCAATAACATTTCCCAAAATTTTACATTTCATCATCGCCCCTGCCTGAACTCGTACTTGAAGCTCTTGAATTTTCTTTCACCTATATATCTAGGGCATGTAGGAAGATTCTGTTTTCAGAATTTGAAAACCATGTTCGTTTTTGGCCACGTACAAAACGCCTCAGTTTTTAAGAAAAGTAAACATCGGCAGACGATCTAGAGGATGGTAAAATGCAGACCGTTGAATGTGAGATCGGCTGTAAAGAAAGCCCGTTCGCTCAATAATTTATTAACTTCCGACGCTCAAAACGTTTCACGGCTCATCATCGTGGCTAGTTACAAAACAAACAAAGTTCATAAAGTTTTTAATGACTCGCAATATTTAAGCTTTGAAAACATCACATCTTTATCATTTTTCATTATCAGTTCAATCTACAGGTCACCAGGCAACGTTTCTACAGATTCTGAAAATGAATTTAGTTATCACGATGATACCCTGTTCATCATTTGCGGTGATTTCAATGCTTCGGGATAGCTTCATTCAACACCAATTCGAATCAAAAACAGCACCTCAATTCTTTTTCACCTATTCTCACGGTATGTATTAGACCTTGTCATCACCAGCATATATGATGTTTATGACTTACATCTGCAATCTTCAAACCGACACCAAATCATCTAAATAAATATGCACTTTATAGACGTTTATCTCTACGAGGCAGCACTTGTCCATAAAAAACATCAACTTTCATTTGGTGCAGTTAAAGACAGTTTAAATGTTTCGAAATCATTAAAATTGCATATGAGAAAACTAAATGATCGCTAAAACGTAAATTATTGTAAAAGTAATCCTCGAAATCTTTGGCGCTCAACAACCTCCTTCATTCTTGTCCGCCACAACACTACTTTCATGTTCCAATAACACCATCTACATAATATGATGAAGAATAAAGCCTCTACATAATCTCTCTCTCTCTCTCTCTCTCTCTCTATATATATATATATATATATATATATATATATACAAACATTTACATAATTTATGTGTAACATATTTACTAAGCCCTGCCTACAGTTTACACACATGAAACAATTACATTTCTACTCGATACATCTAAAAACTTTTTTCTACCCATCCACGTTATTATGAGTGAAACGACTTGAATCTACAAGTACGTGAGTGATAATTTCACAAGTGTGATAATTTCCGACCTGATCCTGCAAGTACGATCGTCGTTTCGTATTGTGGGACGAAACGCGTCTAGCCTAGAACGAGTTAGATGTTCACAGTAATGCACCTTTGGTCGTGGTGAGAGATGGTTTATTTTATGTACTTGTATTGGCCGACCGTCCTTAGGCTGGAAATTTTCACATTATATATATTTAATATATATATATGTTTGAATATATATATATATAGAAATTATATATATATATATATATATATATATGTTTATTTGTTTATGTTTATATATGTTAGATATATGGGTAAAATATTGATTTATGTAATAAAAAATTTTAATTATTATAATTTGATAAAATTCATATTTAGAATGAATCAGAACATGAAATACAAATATAAAAATGAATACATACTCTTAATACTTTCAAGATTTAATGACAAATTATTAAACATATCGTAATCTACGTCTCTGGAGGCAGTAGAACATTGACCAATGTACTTCATGAGTCGTTTGGAAATTCCACTATCAAAATCAATGGCTAAAATATTCAATCCAGTGTTATGCTGGAAATTAGAAAAAATAGAAAAAAGTAAATTGAAATGACCAAATCTATGTGTAATAGGCTGGATTAAATACATGTTACTCAGTTATATACAATTTTCCAGCAAAGTTTGTGAAAGTATAAACCACAAATACAAATAAATTACCGTTTTATTAATTGAGAGAGTATAAACACCTAAAGTTAATAAACATCGTTCTTATTGATGAAGTCGCTTGAACTGAAACTGAAATGTCCCGTAAAGTCAAAAAAACTCAGACTGGAAATTATATGTTCATAAGTCTACGATAACTTTTGTAAAAAGTCAGTGTTGTTGGAAATACATTATTTTGGTTCTTTTCTTATCGATTCACTTCTTTCAAAGTTATAGCGATTACCAAGTCTTCAATCTTTTCATGAACTTAATTTAATTCTCAACAAATATAGTAAAAAATATACTAAATAAAATAATATCATGATATAAGGTAATATAATAATGCAATCAGAAAAAAATTTTAAAAATTTATTTAAAAAAAGTAACAAAAAACAGTAATGACAGTTATTAACAAAATGCGTTTGATCCAGAAAGCAATTTTCAGCCTATTTGGGTCTATGAGTTATATCATATCAGCTTATAAACGTATTATCTTCAATCCGTGTTTTAATATTATTAGATTTCCATTGTTTAGAAAAAATTTCGATGCAAATATTTCGAAGTTTGATATTTTTTTAGTTCACGTGTTTTTTATTTATTTTGTAATCAATTGAAACCAAATGTTGAGGTGTAAAAGGCAATTACATTCTTGAAAAAACTGATGTTTTAACATAGAAATCCAGTCAGAAATGTTATTCCAGCTGCTATCGTCTTTTTGTAATCTATTGTCAGATAACAAACATTTTTTAACATTATATATAAAGTAAATGGTTCAATTAATGTAGAAAAGTTCCAAACAAATCGCATTCATCAAAACAAAATTAAGTGAAAATCCTATTATTAATAAAAAAGCAATGTACTTTTCAAGACATACATTAATTTAAAAGTACATTAATCCAACATTCATTCAACTTTTACATCCTCCAACAAACCAACGACTATTTTGCTGAAATAAAATTTTCCGAGATTTTGTGGTATTGCTTTAGCTCTAAATTTAAAACTGTGGCCTCTTGTTCTGTCATCTTCATGCTTCGCATCAACAGGATTCTTTGTACACGTAGATCATGCTACTCCTGTTCCTGAAATATGCCATTGTCGGAAGATCTAAAAGTTTTAACATGTCTACTCAGTTTCTGCCAGCACATACTTTCACCATTTTCATAATAATATGCATTTATGAACAACGACGTTTTGTTAAACGATTTAAAGTGATTTTTTTCCCAGTAAACACTATTACAGTACAATCTTTAAAACATCGAAAAAACAACTGAAAAAGAACCCCAAGCACCAATTTGCTTGATCAACAGCGTTAGTCGATATAATTTGAAACCCCTGCCAGCGCCATCATTATTTTCCACATAATGCTGAGAAAATGTGTTTTTTAAATTTATTAATAATCTGCCAAAAAACTTTAGGAATGATTTTCCTTATTAAACTTGTTTCATGCCTTTCTTTGAAGTAAATGATTTTTGTATAATTTTTTTAAGGCTTCGATTTCCTCAAAAAGCGCGAAATTTTTATAGACCATGTATTGATTCTACAACTTTTTTCTAAATTTAATCACCTTGATCGGCAGATTTATACAAAAATTTATATTTTTGTTTTTAAATTTTAACGACCGAATGCACATAACAGTGGCTCTGTTGAAAATTTTAGAACTGTGATTTCACGAGTTTTTTCGTATGATTCTTAAAATTAATGTCATTGTTTAACAAGGTAGTGGCATAAAGTTTGTTAAGGTAATCGTTCATTTCGATGTAGTTACCTTTATAGTTTATCGGAGTCCAGACGTGGAACGGTATCCATAACAATAGAACCTAAACTATTTTAACTTTAAAACTTAGGATTTAAAAGGAAATACATTTTGAATGTTATCTTCAACTGAAATTTTATATGTTATCTTCAAAGGAAATCTTTTCAAAAGAAATCAAATCCTGTGGGCCTGAACCTTAATATTTCATTATTATTTCAATATGCTGGATTTATAGTTTTGCATTAAATTTCTCACATTTACTAATTTTGTTTTATATCCATGAATGGGTTATTTTGGGAATGACCAATTTTCATCTATTTATCATGTTTATTTTAAATGAAACAAAGATGAAAACGAACGGGCTGTCTGCATTTGTTTTGACTTAGCTCATTGATTCATTTTTGAACTTAATTCTGGCTTGACTACTTCAAGGAAATTTGTTATAATGCTCCATTCTTTTTGCCATTATTCATTAATGAGGTTGTTTCTCTTCATTATTATATCGTGATATAATTGAAACTTGGAAAATTAATATCTCCCACATTTAATTAATTTTCATAAATTTTCTGTTATGAGTCAAAAAGTATTGTTATTAGCAACTTCTGTAAAATTAAATGTCTGAATTGTGCTATTTTTACCTGTAAACAAATGCATTTTTCCAAATTATCTAAATTAATTTTTTGAGCGTATAAATAACTTTTTATGCAGCAAATTGTTTAATAGTAACCCCTCCATAATTATATGTCTCTTGCAGGCAACACATTTGTTTTTATTTTTGTTATATTCAAAAATAAAGTTAGTAAATGGAAAGAATGGATGAAAAAAATTCAACAAAATAATATAATATATAAAATATTTATTGCTATACATATTTCTATAAAAATTTGAGCAACAGTGAAATTTCAACAACAGTGAAATTTCAACTAAAAAGTTAAGAAGTACACAACAGAAAATTATTAACTTAAAAATTTAATTAAATAAGATATTAATTTACATTTTAAAATATATGAAAATTTCTTTTTTTTAAAATAAGAATATAAATGAACTTCTCAACATAATGTAAGAAAACACAGCAAATTTTAAGAAAAAACTACAATATCTGGAAAAAGTATGTTTAAAATCTTGTTAATATAAAATAATATATATAAAATATATTGCTTGTAAACACAGAAAAATTTAAGAAAACCCCAAAAAAATTGAATCTAGGAAATGTATGTTTAAAATCTTATTTTCTTTTGTGTGTAGAGTGCAATTTAAATGACGGGTGCAAAAGTCATGGGAGTGCTGCCGTTATACATCTAAAACTTTCATCAACTTTCTTAATTTGAAATTTCCAAATCGTTTACACAGTTGAATTTAGTTTTACCTAGAAGGCTACAGACTGTAAAAAAAGTAAAAAAGCATTATGATGGTGAAAACTTTAAAATTTTTTAAATTTTACTTGAAATATCTGGACAAAGAACAAACAAAGTGGTTTGTTGCTTAAGAAACTTAAAAACATAAAAAAAATGCCAAACGTAAAATTTTAATGTTCAAATGTCAAATTATAATGTTCAAGGTTCAAAGCACAATATATCAGAAAATAACTGATAACAATGTTTCCGAAAAGCATTGATTAAAAAAAATTTGAAAAAGAAAACAGTGAATAAACATGATCATACAATAAAAAAATAAGATAAGTAATTTGATAAGTTTAAACATCTCAAACTAAATTTATTACTGAGACACAAAGAAACAAGTACAAAAAGTAAAGTTGTTAAAGACAAAGAGCTAGCTATTCGGTAAAGAAAAAACTTTTCTGATTATCGATGAAAAAATAACATAACTAGTTCAACCGTGTTATAAAAGTAGAGTATTTCTGTACTGAGCAGTTAAATTGTGCGCGTGAAATCATTGACGTTTATGAATCAACAAACGGTTTTTTTTTATATTATTGTTATTATTCAACAACCTTTTGAATAAATTTAAAAAATTTCAAACATTTAAACTTTGTTTTAAATTTTTTTTATCAAGTTCTTAATGATTTTTGGATGAATTGACGTTGATGAGATATAACCGAATATTCTGAGCTCACAAAAAATATTTCCATAAAATGTTTGTGTAGATATGTGTTTTAAAATTATTCACTTATCAAATTTTAATAATAAACAGACTTAGAAGAAACCAATCGTAGAGATGGTTTGAGCGTAGGGTAGGATAGGAAAATAACACGCACAACTTTAAAAATTAGAGAAAAAAAAATGTTGTTGGAGAGATATGGACGTTTATATACAAACTTATAAGTAACTTAATTTAAAACTAATAACCGCCATCAAATGGAGTAAATATAGGATGTAATGTGGATTTGCTCAAAGGCTGGTTTGTTGACGATTGTGATAACTATACAGTTGTATAGGTAGAACTATTTTAAACTTTGCTTCATGATCAGCATTTTAAGTGGTAGTAAAACCACTGAATCAAGTCTGGATTGGATCTTCTGTAAGTTTTAGTTAAATTATGTAACCATTTTACAATACCGTAAAATTTATATGTTATTTGGAATTATAGTGACAAATTTTTTAATTTAAAACCATTAAAAGTAGGTATACAAAAATGTAATAATAAATTTTTATAGGCAAAAACTTTTCATAAATAAAAAATCGTACCTCACTGGAACAAGATAACAAACTGCATATAAGCACCAGCTTCAAGATGAAATAATTCGAGGAAGCTATATCTACTAAGATTCAAATTTTATAACTTCAAAATATTAGTAATTAATAGAATAAATGAAAAAACATAACAATTTATTTTAAAATAATGAGCTTGAGTATAAGTCATAAGTAGGGTTAGAGTGGAAGTGAAACTGGTGGTTCAATTGGCTAGGGCAATTCATCAATGCTAGATTTAGATAAATGGGGGCCCGACAAACAGATTTGGAGTTTTGGAGTCTTTTATTTGGTATTAAACGCATGAATAATTTACGTACCACAAATTTTTACGTATAGCGCAAACCTATATTTAAAATTTGTATTACTGTTAGAACCGCAAGAATGATCAAATTGAGCTATATAATTTATTATTCAAATATTGTTATCTTTGCTATATTTGTAATTTTCGGATAGTAAACTAAAGAGCTCTAAAGAAATATTGTATCTACGCTAAAAATCTAGACTGTGTAGTCAGGTCTACAGTCAGGTTTTTTGGAGGTTCGATGCGAAGTCATAAATGTGATTTACGGATTAGTTTATAGTCTCTTTTACTGTTAGCATTCAAATAAACGTTCAACAAAGATTGCGTTTGAAGTAGTTGTGTTCTTCACTATCAAAAATCGTGAACCTAAGGAATAACGAGCACTTGACGATCGTTGTAAGCTACAACACTTTCCATCACAAGTCGAACAACATATTCTGGAATAAGTTGTCGACGTAGACTCCACCTGATTGCTTCACGGGGAACTCGATCAAATGCTTTTCCAAGATTTACAAAAACGTGTGATAGTTGCTGATGCTTTGCGAGGTACTTCTCTTGCAGTTGCCGAAGGATGTGAATTGCATCAATTGTTGATATCCCCGCTAGGAAACCAAATTGATAATTTCCGATTGTGATGCACGACGTTAATCTTCTCTCAATGATTTTCTCGACAATTTTCAGGGAGTGTTCTAACAGACGTATACCCCGATATGATCAATGGATCACCTTTGCCTTTGTATAGCGGAACTGTCATGTCTGTCCATTCAGTCGGCATTGAGCAATTTCTCCACACTTCACGGCAAAGTTGTAGTAACGGTTGGATACCTGCAGTACCAGATGCTTTGATAATGTCATTTGTGAGTCCAGAGGGCCCTGCTGCCTTTTCATCCTTCATAGCTTTCAGAGCTTTTGTAAGCTCCTCTACAGTGATGTCTGGAATCGGACCTTCGATGGGTGGAGCGCCAAAGTTGACATTGATGGGATTTGTTTCATTTAACAGATGGTTGAAGTATTTTCGCCACTGTAGCTTAATCTCATCTTGTTCAAGAACCATCTCATTGTTGTCGTTTTTGATACATGAGGCACCAACTAAGTCTTTTTTCGTACGCTTTGCTTGTTTTGCTATACAATACAGAGATTTCATTTGTTCACCTCTGCTTTTAGTGAGCCACTTTCTTCACTGATCTGTCCGAGCCAGTCCGACTTGACGTCTTGCAATGTTCTTCTCACGGTAAATTTTACGGTCATCAACAGACTTTGATTTTTGCCATTGCTTATATGCAGCTTTCATTTCAGCTATGGCATTTTGTACATTGTCATTCCACGACCAAGTGTCCCGTTCATGCTAACGTTTTGTACCAGTTTTCCCACAAACTGTAGTTGCTGCGTTTATCAAAACGGTTTTGTATGTACTCAAATCTGTACTGGATTGCGATTGGTGGTATAACTGTGTGGCGACAATCTGTTGAAATTTTTCTCGATGAATATTGCTTTTCAGCTTCCACGTTTTGATTCTCCGAGGCATTTGTTTAGACTTATTTTCTGACAGTTTGACAACCAGGTCTGCCACAAGGAGTCTATGTTGGGCGACACTTGATTCGCCATATAACTTTGACATTTTTGAATAATCTTCGGTGCTGTTGCTTGACATCAAAGAAATCAATTTGCGTGGCTGATGGTCCACTTTTGTATGTTATGAGATGTTCCAACCTTTTTTTTAAAATAAGTGTTCTGTAAACAAAACCCATGACTTTCAGCAAACTCAAGGATGCTGTTGCCATCTTTATTCCGTTCTCCATAGCCAAAACCACCATGCACGTTGTCAAAACCATCTGTTTTCTCTCCAACGTGGCCATTGAGATCGCCTCCAATCAGGATTGTTTTAGATTTTGGTATTGTTGACATGGTGTCAGAAAACGCAGCCCAGAAGTCATTTTTTATCTCTTCTGATTCGCCTGTCTGTGGCGCGTATGCAAAAAAATAGTCATTGTTTGCTTTTCTGGGCGAATCTTGATACAAATGAAACGTGAGTTAAAACCTTTTAATATCCAGTACTTCTTGGGCTAGCGGTTCTTTGACAAAAATTCCAACACCATTTTTGGTCGTCTTTTGACCATTCCATAATAATTCATATTTTTCTTTGTCTGAATTGATATGACAGACACCATTCGATTTCCATCGGTTCTCCTGAAGGCAGCAGATGTCAATCCTTTTACGCTCGAACATTTCTGCGATTTCCATGCTGCGGCCAGTCAGTGATCCAACATTGAGCGTTCCAAGTCTAAGTACCATAGAAAGGCCATTCTGAATTGTTCTGCAACATCCCTCCGCTATTGCATACTTCCCAGGGATTCTTAGCACCCTTTGGCCACTTAAGGCCTTCTGGGGATAGGAGCCGTTGTTTTTATTTATGATGGCATGGAATACATTTTGGGAAAATTTTTTACATCCGGACACCCATCCTGACGACAACCACCAGTTATAAGCGGTGGGCCTAGCCTTTTCCTCAAAAGCACGCAAAGCAGCGTGGATGCAGTTTTATGTTATGCCCAGGACATCGGATGCGGCGGTTGCGGTTTGGAAAAATCTTCTCTGGCTTTCGGGCACTACCAGCAACAACTATACAAGAGCCTGAAATCATCCTACCGGCTTACCCATCTACGGCGGATTTCGACTGTGACACAGGTGATATCTTTGACGCATGAGTTATCTTTGACGCACGTGATAACTGCGACGCATGTGACATCTGCAACGCATGTAATATCTGCGACGCACGTGGCAATTGCGTGACAAGTGTCGTCGTGAAGAAAGAAAGTTACCGTAATAATGAAGCTGCTAACGAAGATGTAATGAAGCTGCTAACGAAGATGACAATGAAGATTTTTAAAAATATTCGAAAAGCTAGAAGTGATAAACTTTTGATATGACGTGAGGCTACTACTCGGATCTTTCTGCTAACTCGTCTGTTTTCATTAACAACAACGACAGCAGTGACAATAATAGCTATAACAAACACTCACCAACAATTCAATTTATGATAATTTTGATGATACTTTAATTTGGGAGAGTGAAGATGACAAAGAAGTAGGCACAGACAATGAATCAAGTTTTGAGATAACCCTTCCAGCACGCACGTAGAATGAAAGCTTGTATCTCGTTTACCTGGATAATAACAAAAACGACGGTTTCACGGCTGAGGGAGATGAGATTTGCATTGCTGCATCAATGATCGACAGGAAAGTTGTCAACGACGAATCCTAAAACATGCAGATGAGCTATTTGTCTGGTCATTTTACACATAGTAAAAAGCAATTGCTTCAAGCGCAAACAAAATCAAGATGTCTACCTATGGCTAAAAGAGCCGAAACAACTGAAATGCGGTATGTCCTGAAAAGAAATAACGCAGAAATCATGAGCAAAGACCTGGTCTGGTGGTACATCTACGGCGCAGAAAAAGGCAATGCCCGGCAAAACTCCCAAGGAATTAGAAAAATCTGTTGAAAAGGTATTCGGCAACAAGATCACTAACAAGATAAATGACGTGATGGAAGAAAATGGACAAAGATGAAAGTTGCTCATTTGAATAAATTACCTACTATCTACCAAAATAAAAAGGTAACGTCAATGTTAGGGACTAACAGGCTGAGGTGAGGTTAATGTTATGACCGCGGAAATGATCGAATTGCACTATATTATTTATTATTTTAATAATGTTATTTTTACTATATTTGTAATCTTCAGGTTATAAACTACAGAGGGTTGTGAAAAATATTGTATCTATGTTAAAAATATAGACTATATTTGTGTCCTGCGTCGTTAGGTTTATTGTCAGGTTTCCAGCAGAGAAAACGAAGTCGTAAATGTGATTTATGTAGTTACTTGGATTAGTTTATTGTTTCTATTACTGTTGGCATTCAAACAAACGTTCAACAAAGTTCGCGTTTGACACAGTTGTTTTCATCTTTCGAAAATTTTGAACCGACGGAATAACGAACACTTGACGATCGTTAGAAGCTACAACACTGGTGTTGGAAATATAGAAATCCTTGATGATATAATATTGGTGTTGGTGGTAATTACGAACGTCAAAAAATTACAAGATTGGTGTCAGAAGTAAGATTTTTTATTGATCCAAACTTCCTGCAATAAAGAATGCCAGCATTAGAAGAGATCAATGCAATTAGTCTAAGAAAAGAACTACAACAAAAAATCTCAACTCGAAAGCAGCAAAGACAGTTTTGATAATCCGCTTAAGGGACGCTCTATTAAAAAAATCGATCCGAATCCTGTGAATCAACAAAACGACAATGATCAAACAACAGCTTGCAGAAATGAATACAAAATTCGATAAAAAGACAACCGATATAAACAGAATAATCGATCAACACACAGTCGAAGTGGTTAAAATAATACAATCAACCTTGGGAAGAAAATCACCTAATAAAGTGATAATCGAAAATAACACAGAAACAGCTACACAAGATCCTGAAGATCCTGACCATATCACCAGCTTATTCAACTACGTACAATTACATTAGCGATCGCAAGTCTATCCTTTCTACGGATCATTTCAGTTGCGGCGCTCGTAATATCAGCGACGCACGTGTTAACTGCGTTGCACATGTTAACGTGAAGAAAGAGGAAGCCAGTTTTCATAACGATAAAGATGATGACAAAGACAAAAATGAATGTTTTGAAAACATTGAAAAAGTTGGCTACGACAAAGAATCTTTTGGTATGCAATGGGACTACTACTCAGATTTTGCTGCCAGCAACTCGCCTACTTACCTTACTAACAGCGACAACGGTTATTCAAATAGTAACGATGTCCTTGATGGTGATGTTAATGCGAATAATCATACCGAACCCGAATTGGTAACAGAATATGACCCAAGTTTTGACATAATGCCTCCAACATGCACCTGGAAAAAAAGCTTGGTTCTCGTCTACCTGGATGATGACATAAACGACGACTTCATTGCTGATGAGGATGAGTCTTTCATCGCTGCATCACTAATCGACAGGAAAGATGTTAATGACGAATTTTACGACATGCATCAAAGATACCCGTCTGATCATTCTACACCTCGTGAACTCAATAGAAAAAACCACTTGCTTCAAGTGTCAACAAAATAAAGTAAAAACGACGACGTCTGCTTATGGCTAGAGGTACCGAACAATGGGAACCTGGCGTGCCCAGAAAAAAAAATAACGCAGATTTCAAGAGCAAAGACCTGGTCTGATTATACAACCTACGGCGCAGAAAAAGCATAAGGTGGAGTTTGTTAACTTCTTAATTGCGCTTAGCTCTTTCTGTGTCAATGTTTAAAAATAAATAGAAAACGTACTTGTTTCATCTTCTGAAAAATAACGAAGAATAATTAAAATATTAGAGATAAGTTTGTTAAAAAAAGTTTTAAAAAACACATTAAAAAATACATTATAAGGTAAATTTGAACATTTAATATTAAATACTACCTGCAAATTTGCTAGCAAACCAAAAAGTGTAATCCCACGGAGACAACTTTTCAGCTTAAAGAAATTATAATAATAAAAGAAAAATAGATAAATTTACAATTATTTAAGCTCATTAGATATACAAAAGCAAAACAAAAGTAATACATACATATAGGGTGTCTCAGAAAATATGAAAGTTTGTAATTGTCAAATCTCACCCCTTTAAAAGTTTCTGTGTGGCAATTTGGCAATTTAAAGTAAACTGTGCAATTTCATATCATTTGGACAAAGTTTAAGGATTTCTCAAAGCTTTCGATGATTCTTATGTGAATGACTGAATGTATTCAACAACAGAAAAGAACTTGGGAAAGATCTTACCATGGATAGCTTGTTACCACCATATGTTCGAAAATTTATTGGCAGACGTATTTAGTAAATGCTTTGAATCACCTATCGGACCAGACATACAGATTTTTAAGATTTTACATTTTTCAGAAAAAAGGCATGATTTTAATTATCCTATTCTTCATGAGACACCGACTCCCTTAATACCAGTGAAAGACGGTATGAAAACCTTAATTTCTCAGCAACTGGACAAACAACATACCCGAGTAGACTACAAAGAATTTTTTATCATTGCTAGACTAATGGTCATAGAGCAAGGTGGATGGCAAAGGCTGCTGTGTACTCATTAAAGATTGAGCTTTATTTAATGGCAATAACAAAAACAACACACGTTTAGACGACATTTGCCCCGAGTTCGGGAGTTGCCGTTTGGCTACTTATGATGAAATTGATGGCAAAAAAAACAACGTCCTACCTCGGAGAACTGGGTCTCTGGACGCTAAACGAAGATTGATTGATTGATTGTGTACGGTCGTCCATTCATTTATACATTCAAGGTTGCACTATTGTAATGGTTTATTCAATGGAATTGCTAGGCGTAAAATTGCTATGCTCCAAATGGTTCAGAAGGGAACTGCTAGAATCATTGTTGGTGGGCAATGGTTTGATCACATGAGCCCGGTACATCGGGATTTGTATTGGCTGCCTGTTCATAAAAGAATGTGTTTTGATGTATAAAAGCTTTAATGGGTTGGTACCACAATATTTGTCTAATAGGTTTCTGTACAAATCAACTATTGGCCAGAGGATTGGTCCAAGATCAGATGATTGTGATTTATTAGTGCAGTCGATGAGAGCATTGAAATTAGGGTCAAGAAATTTCGTGGTTTGTAGAGTAAAGGTGTGGAATGATCTCCCGCTAACTTTGCGTGATCGCAATTTGTCGTTTTCTCATTTCAAAAGGCAGTTGAAAACATTCAATTTTCAGCAATAGGTTCGAAATACGTGGAGAGCGCCTGTGAAAACCTTTTAATAAGCGCTATATAAATCATCTAATAATAATAATAATAATAATATATATAAAGGTTACCAATTTATATATATATTTAAAATATATATAAATAATATATTTATATATATTTATAATATATATAAAGGTTAAAGGTTAAGGTCCTGGTTATGACATAAAACAAACCCTCACTGCCTTGTGAGTGATGTTGGATCATCAAAGGCTAGGCCCACCGCTTATTACTGTCGTTGCGTAAGGAAGGGCGTCCTGTATAAAAATTAGCCAAAAAAAATAACTTATGATGACAGAAGTGACAATGGCCCTCAGGTAGACTAAGGGGTTGGAGGTTTGGTACCTGGAATGTAGGCACGTTGACAGGAAGGAGTTTGGAAGTGGTGGAGGAGTTGCAGAAGAGAATGGTTGACGTGGCTGCATTACAGGAGATCAGATAGAAGGGAGAAGGTACAAGGTTTGTGGGGGCTAAAGGTGGAAGATATAAGTTGTGGTGGAAGGGGGATGATGGAACGGGAGGAGTTGGTGTGATGGTAAGAGAAAAGTTGGTGGAGAAGGTGTTGGAAGTGAGGCGGAAAAGCAATGGTGTAATTGTGGTGGTGATGGTGTTTGGAAAGGTAAGAGTGAAGGTAATATCAGGATATGCTCCGCAACAAAGTAGGAAGGAAAAGGAGAAGGATGGGTTTTATGATTATGTTTCTGACGAGATTGGGCAAGCGGGTTTGGATGAGTTTGTGGTGTTGATGGGTGATTTGAATGGTCATGTGGGGGCGGATACAGACGGATATGAATGTGCGCATGGGGAATGGGGATATGGTATATGGAATGAGGAAGGGCGTAGAGTGTTGGAGTTGGCGAATGCACATAGCATGGTGGTGGGGAATACCTGGTTTACAAGGGAACCAGCACAATTAATTACATATAGGTCAGGGGAGCATAGGTCAATGATAGATTCTATATTGATAAGGGCGAAGCATAAAAAGTATGTAAGGAATGTGAAGGCGATATCTGGTATGTTGCAGCATAGTATGGTTGTGATGGATGCGGCATCAAATGAAATGGGGAGAAGGAAAAAGGATAAGTTTGCGGCAAAGAGAAAGACATGGAAGTTACAGGATGCAGAGGTGAGGAAAGCATTTGAAGTGAAGGTGGCTGAAGGTTGAGAGAGTGGTAAGGATGGAGATGTTTGGGAGAGATATAGGGACTGTGGTGAGTTGACTACGGCAGATAAAGTATGGACGAAAGGAAAGTGTAGGCATGGTGAGACGTGATGGTGGGATGAAGATATAAGAAAGGTTTTGGACGTCAAGAAGGAGAGGTTTAAGGAGTGGAGAAGGGACATGACGGGGAAAGCGGAGTTTGAGTACAGGAAGGCTAAGAATGTTGCAAAACGGGCAGTGGCAACTGAAACGACGAAAGCATCGGATAGGTTAATGAGGGAAATGAAATTTGATGTGAGTTCGAGGAAAATTTTCAAAGTAGCAAAGCAGTCAAAGATGTTATAGGGAATGGATATGTTTGAGATGGATCTGGCAAGTTGTGCATAGATAAGAAGGAAAAAGCTCAGGTGTGGAAAGCCCATAAGGTTGATAAATGAAGAAAATGAGTGGGATGGAGATGTGGAATCCGTGGTCACACACGGACTCATAGAAAAGGTGACGTTGGAGGAAGTAGAGAAAGCAGTTAGAGAAATGAAATTAGGCAAGGCGACAGAGGTTTCGGAAGTGGTGGCGGAACATATAAAGGCGAGTGGGGTGATAGGAATTGAAGTTATGATGAGAATTGCTAACAGTATTTTTGATGATGAATAAGAAGGAAAAAGCTCAGGTGTGGAAAGCCCATATGGAAAGGTTGATAAATGAAGAAAATGAGTGGGATGGAGATGTGGAATCCGTGGTCACACACGGCTCATAGAAAAGGTGACGTTGGAGGAAGTAGAGAAAGCAGTTAGAGAAATGAAATTAGGTAAGGCGACAGTTGTTCATAGTGAGAATGTTGCAGGAGAATTATAGAAAGAAGAAACGAAGATTGTACATGTGTTTTGTGGAAATAGAAAAGGCTTTTGATCGCGTATCGAGAAAGGTCATTGAATGGGCGTTGAGGAAGAAAGGAGTGAATGAGAGACTTGTTAAAGCTGTGATGCAGCTGTATGAAAGGACGAAGACAAAGGTGAGGGTCGGAAGGGGGATGTCGGACGCTTTTAGTGTTAAGGTAGGAGTGCATCAAGGATCAGTGTTATCACCGTTTTTGATAGCAATTGTGATGGATATTGTGTGTGGAAACCGAATGAAGGGGTTGTTATTTGAGATTTTGTATGCAGTTGATAGGACGGACGCAAAGACGGGGTTGAGTAGTGGTATTGAAAGAGTGGAAAGCTTTGTTTATTTAGGAGTTAAGCTGAACGCGGATGGAAGATGTTTGAGCGCTGTTACAGCTAAAGTTCGTGTGGGATATATTAAATTTAGGAAACTTGGTGGGGTATTGTGTGGAAAGAAATGGTCAGTGTAGATGAAAGAGAGGGTTAGAGCATGTGTGAGAGCAGCGATGGTATATGGTGGTGAAACTTGGGTGTTGAGGAGAGTTAGGGTTAGTGTTAGAGGAGGAAAGTGTACTGCAGAGGACTGAAAGAGCTATGGTGAGGATAATGTGTGGGGTTAAAGTGAAGGATAGTAGTAGTAGAGAGCTGATGTCGATGATGGGACTGAATGAGGACATTGTGACATTGATAAGGAGATCGAGATTGCGGTGGTATGGACATGTGTTGAGAAGGGATGAAAGGGTCGGGATTAGGCGAGCGTTGGAGTTCGAGGTTGAAGGAAGACTCGATTGGGATGGAGAGAGCAGGTGGAGAAGGACATTGTGAAAGCGGGGTTGCGTGATACTGAGGCGAGTGACAAATGTGAATGGCGTCGAGGGGTATTTCGGTTTCATCATAAGTAGCCAAACGGCAACCCCCGAACTCGGGGAAAATGTCGTCTAAACGTGTGCTGTTGTTTTATTGTGTGAAGAAACAATACGAGAGAGAAACAATATACACGTAATAAGGAACATGTACCGAAAAAACCTTTTATGTAAATGTATAATTGTATATAATAAAAATGCAGTCTAAAACAATTGGAAGTTTTATTATTAATTTTATTAATTTGAATAAATTGAATAATATCGATGAAATTATATATATATATATATATATATATATATATATATATATATATATATATTTACAATATTCTATAAATTCTACCGAATGTTTGGCGTTAATATGTTTGTAGTTCGTTTTTTCGATTTTTCTCACTAAAGTTTTTTGGTGAACGTTTAGTTTATTAAAATTCAAAATAAACTTATTTTCCGAATTCATGCTGCAATTAAGGCCATATTTCGATTCCGAATGAATCATCATCAGTGCGACTTAGTTTATATAGAAAAATATTCACTTTGTCAAAATGAACTTAGATGGAAATTAGGTGTCAGGTTTCTTTATTGGCTGGTCATCTACTTTGGTCTCCTATTCTTCATCGATAGCATCAAATTCTTCTTTGTCACTATTTATTAATACAATGCTAGTTTTTATCACCTCTTTGTTTTCATTGTTGATTAAGCGCCGGGTTCAGAGTGAGGTTGTCATTTTTGTTGTATATTTATTTTTGATTTATTGATGTCAATTAGGACTGCTTCTGCAATTTTAAGATGCGTGTAGTTGCTGTTCTGGTATATTACTTTGATGTTGCTGTCGAGGATTTCACGGTTAATACTTATTGAGTGTGTTGAGCCCAAATGAGATTTGATAGCACCACTCTGTTTATGCATCTTAAGCCTTCTAGTCAGTGAGGTAGTAGTAATCCCGATATATGAGTCATGTTGACGTGCACAGCCGTCAAAGAGGCAATTAAATTCATATATTACGTGATTACGCTTTAACACAGGACTACAGTGGGAAAACTGGTACAAAACGTCAGTATGAACGGGACACTGAGAATGACAGTGTACAAAAAGCAATAGCTGAAAAGAAAGTTGCTTACAAGCAATGGCAAAAATCAAAGTCTGTTGATGACCATAAAATTTTCCATGAGAAGAACTACTATGCAAGACGTCAAGTTGCACTGGCTCGGACAGATCAGTGCAAAGAGTGGCTCACTAAAAGCAAAGATGAACAAATGAAATCTCTGTATCGTATAGCAAAACAAGCAAAGCGTACGAAAAAAGACAATCGAGCAAACAATCGAGCAAGACATGAAAGCTCTAAATTTAAATGAAATGGATACAACTGATCGTTTAATTTGGTGCAAAAAATTGATGGCAAAGAAAACAAAGTCCTACCTCGGGAGTACTGGGTCTCTGGACGCCAAACGAAGATTGATTGAAAGAAGTAATTGACAAATTTAATTACTTTGAGCAAAAATGTAGCTTTATCAATCATTTATTTACCTTTGCATAGTCTATACTAACTGCTTCAATTTTCTTTAATCAACTTTCTTAATTTAAATATTAAAAATAAAAAATTTTGTAATGAGCTTTTTCTTAAGCAAATAAAAAACTGCATGGTATTTAAATTTTTTTTAATTATCTGTAGACAGTATTTAATTATTAGTAGCAGTATTTGGTATTTGAATACTATTTAAACACTGAATTATTACTATGTTTTAGCAAATGTATTAGTAATTTCACCACACGGCATACTACCAATCTAATATATCATTTTTTGTATGCAAAATCAACATTATCTAACATCTAAAAAATACCTCTCAACAAATAATCAATGGACAACGGAAAAACAGGGAAATATTCCAATAAAGAATGAAGTTGACTCTGTAGAAAGTTATCAACTGTTACGTTTCAAATTCGCATTTAAAAATTTTTAAAAAGTTCACCATATTCGAGAATGTATTCAGATGAGTTAATCCTATAACCTGAAAAACGACATTTGTATAAAAAATATTCATAATAAATGAAATATTTTATTTTCTAAAACAGTGAACAATATACTATAGCGTTAGAATAAAAAACAATAACGATAATTTCTAATGTCAAAATACCATTCTGAAAATTAGCTTAAAAAATACCTTATTAAATAGCAAAGAATTTTTTTCAAACATTTTAAAATCAAAAATACTTAAAAATTTTTAAAAAAGTTTTTTGTATGTTAGTTCTTAAATGATATCTTTACATTAATTCAGAACATTACTTAATATAATAAATTAATAAATAAATTTATTTATTTGAATCCAGTAGAAGTGCGAACGTGTGGAGTTGGATTCGCAATATGTAGCACCATTTTCAAGTCTGTTTGAGACTTTTCGTGGCATGTAGCCGCGTCTTATGAAGATGCAGCTGAATCTCGATGGAGGACACATCACGTTGGTCAGCTGCTATGCGCCCATGCTTGATTGTTTCTATGAACAGCTCAATATAGCTGTAAACGCGACGCCTTTTTAACATCAAATGTTTAACTTCAACGCACGAGTTCGAGTAGATCATAACATCTCGGTTAGATTACTGCAACAGCTTGTTGTATAAAATATCTGATAAATCTATTGCTATTCTGCAGTCGGTCCAGAATAGAGCTGCAAAGTTGGTTGCTGGTAAATTGAAGTTTGACCACGTTACGCCAATTTTGAATGATTTGCACTGGTTGACGATTGATAAGAAGATAATTTTTAAAGTTGGTGTGATCATGTTCAAGGCTTTAAACGAAATGTCACCAGATTACATAACCAATAAATTTACCAGAAAAGGAACGGCATCTAGTTTCTGCCTTCGGTCAGATGATATGAATCTCTTAAGGGTACCAGTGGCAAGGTTACAGATTGGATCACGTGATATTGCAATTGCCGGTCCCACTGTGTGGAGCAGTCTCCCTGCATCACTGAGAAAACCTGAACTTCATCTTCAATCATTTAAAAAGGATTTGAAGACATTTTTATTTTCGTTGAAGTTGCATTGAATTTGATTTTGTACTTATTTTGTTTGCATATATATAATTAAGTTTGATTTTTTGTCCTAAATAAATAAATATGACGTGGGGTAATTGGGCGAAATAGGGCTGGGAAAGAAAACTCAAATGGTATCAGGTTTTTTAAGTTCTGCTCAATGCAAAAAATAGTTGTGACAAACACGGTCTTACAACAGTCAAACAAACTGAAAACAACATGGTTGCAACCACGATCGGGACACTGGCACCTGATCGATTACGTCATCACTAGACAAAGAGACCTACGCAACGTTCGTTTCATCAGAGCGATTCGAGTGACAACTCTGCGGTCTGATCATCGTCTTGTCAAAATGTCACTTAATCTCAATAAATCATTCGAACTCATCAATCACAATAGCCGTAAGAAAATAACATTACCTCCAGAACACCCATCAATCACTCTCACAAGTCAAATAAAAATATTAGGCATCACATTCACCTCTACACTTAATATGGCACCTCATTTCAATCAAATCATCAGAAAAAGCTTTCAAACATTTCACGCACTCAAAACACTCCGCTCACATGGTCTCAGAGGCATCAAATTATTCGACATCACTGAATCACTCATAATCTCACGCATCAAATATGCAGCTCCCTCCAGGTCTGGTTTTGCTAAACAACAACAACTTCAGCAACTACAATCTCTCATCAAAAAACTAATCCGCTTCAGCTATCTACCTGCATCATATCCTACCGTCACTCAAATATTCAACACACTAGACACAAGATTGTTCAAGAAAGTAGAAAATAACAACACCACGTCATCTATCCTCTATTACCACCAATTAAAACTACAACACACAACCTTCGTCAGCGCAAACATAACTATCAAGTCGCCACCCAATCTACATATCAGGAAAAGACCTTCATCACAAGACACCTCAAGCATATTCACAATAAAACTTTATCATTCACACAACTAGTTTTTATTTATTAATACCTCACTAAGTTATAATCCAGTCTATTAATTTGCGTTTTTATGCCATTACTTCATTTCAATTACCTTTCTTTTATTTTTTTTATTATTATTATTCATTTTATTCTATTTTATTTTATTTTTCATGTTTTAACATTTTTCTTTCATACTTTTTTTATTTATTTACTTACTTATTTGTTTAATTTTGTACTACTACCTTGCATGTTGTAACAGTTTCTGCGTCTGTCAGATCCTGATTTTTAAAGAATAATAAAAAAATATAATTTCTAAAAATTGTTCAATTTGAACAATTTCCTGAAAATTTTAGTAAGGAAAATTGAATAGACAAACTTTAAATTGATTAATGCCAACAATTCGGAATTCATACAACACTATATATATACATATATATATATAAATAAATTATGGTCCATTACCAACATATACGTGGTTCCTCAAGAGTTCAAAGATGTTTTGATCGTTCAATGACTTAAAAGAAAAGGTGATCGATCGAACTGTGACGACTATAGAGGAATCTCTCTATTTTCCATACCTCAAAAGATACTAGCCAGAGTGATCGCTGACTGTCTAACAAAACAATGTCAACGATCTAGCAGTCTTTCCGAAAGGTCAGTGTAGATTTAGAGCCGGACGCAGCACAACGGATATAATATTCACCGCAAGACAACTGAGCAGCAACGATGACTGTACATGGTTTTTGTTGACCTGACCAAGGCTTCAGTTGATAGGTCAGCACTTAGGTGCTGCTTGTCAAAAATTGGTTGCATCCCAGCTTTTGTTACCATTGTTCGTTCCTTCCATAAAAGAATGAAAGCGAGTGTGATAGAAAATGATGAACGGTCTCAGGATTTTGATGTTACAAACAAAACTTAACAATGATGTGTTATGTTATGGCTCCATTGCTGTAACATTAACATTGATGCTCCAAGTTGCTTTTTGCCACGGTAGTGAGGAGATACCAATCTGCTATCGTATGGATGGGGATGTCTTTAATATCACACGATTGTAAACAAAGTCAAAGACACGGATCTCAATTGTTCGCAACCTGTTATTTGCTGATGATTGTACACTGGTTTCACACACGCGGTACGAGGTTCAGACGCTCTTCAACCGCTTCCATATAACAGTTAAAAAATTTGAGAGCTACCCAGTCTCGTTGGGGGCAATGGCCCATGTAATGGCGGACGACTCGCGTCTCAATTCTGTTGATAGATTTTGTTATCTAGGCGGATATATCTCCAACGGTGCTACTAAAAATGACGTCATTAAAGCGAGGCTTGCAAAAGCAGGTGCTGCTTTTGATATGTCGACCGGACGTTTTTGGAGAGAGCACGGAGTTACTCTGTCCACCAAAATTGCGGTATACATTTCACTACTGTATGGCTGCAAAACCTGGACCTTCTACAGTCGTCACATTCGTAGACTCGACCAGTTTCATATGAGGTGTTACCGTATGATTACTGGTATCAGGTGCGAAGACAAAGTCTAAAACACAATGGTTCTGGCAAAGTGCGATACAATGGGTATAGAATCGCTGTTGAATCAAGCTCAGTTTCGTTAAATAGGGCACGTAATACGTATGCCAGACAAAAGAATTCTCAAGCAGGTCTTTTTTAGTAAACTAGCGTCAGAAAATCGACTGGCAAGTGGCTCTGTACGTAGATACAAAGACAGCTTGAAAGAAAAAATGATAAAATGTCGATGATCTGCGGTGCTCGTGATAGAGCAAGTCTACTCAGTCGGCAGTTTCCGTTTTTGAATTAACACGTACTGCCGCCTTCGCTGAAAAAAAAAGAATTCTACAAAACAGACGGCCCTAAGTGGTGATAATAGAGGTTGATTTGCGGAACATGCGCCATGTGCAAGGAAATGTTCATCAAGGATAGAACCTTTTGCTCATTCTAGAATTAACCGCTGACCCAATTCGTCCATTACTCCATTATATATTGAACAATAATATATATAAATATAATATTGATGAAAATGGCAGCATGTTCGGCGTTAGTTAACTTCCAATACAATTATGAAGTTAACTAACTAACTTACTAACGCCGAACATACTGTGATTATATAACTATTATATAGGGAGTTAACTAATGCCGCACATACTGCGATTGCCATCAATAATTGCATTTCAGACAGTCTTAATCTAATAATTATTAAAAAACAACAGACTGGAAGCAACTTCGTGGACGACCCCGATGATCGACTGGAACATGAACTTAGAAATAAGAAGTTAACATGCTGTAATTTTTATCAATAATTGCATTTCTGACAGTCTTAATACAATAAATAAATAAATATATATATATAATATTAATACATATATATGTTGCTTCCAGTCCGTGGTTTTTTAATAATTATAAGATTAAGTGCGTGATACTGAAGCGAGTGACAGATGTGAGAGGCAATAAATTTGGATGGTTTATTAATGCTGAGGAGATTAATAAACTCACGGGAAAATTGTAGTGTGTAATTGTTTGGAATATATGGGGTTAAAATTTTGATAAAGAATTTTGTAACAGGGTATGTGACGGTTGTTATTTGGCTAATAATTGGTCGGATGGGATGATTATTCTTATGCGTATTATCATAAAAATGTCACACCAACCAACACAAATAGTAAAGTTAAACTCCGAATTTATCACAACAATAAAAAGACGTCTCACCTAATACTGAAAAACAACTGTAGTTCTAGAGATAACTCTGTGTTAAAGCGTAATCACGTAATATATGAATTTAATTGTCCCTTTGACGGCTGTGCACGTCAACATGACTCATATATCGGGATTACTACTACCTCACTGAATAGAAGGCTTACGATGCATAAACAGAGTGG